AAAAAAAAAATTAGGGAGGGGGGGGGGGGGGGGGGGGGGGGGAGGATAAATAACCAATGTCACGTTGTACGAAATCCACAAATCAAATGACAAAGATCTACATTATTTAGGTGTGTTATAAATAGATATATAATTACTTCTTACAAAAGAACACAAAATTCCTTGTCTGCTTTTTTTAATAGACTTTCTGATGTGGTCCTCAAAACTGTATATAATGTCTTCCATTGCTGGAATTAATTCGAAATAAAAATACTAAGTTGACAGGGCTATACCATTCAGTGTTTTAATATTTTCCAAAATACTAGACATTATTCTACGCAGCAATAAGAAAAACAAAGGTACCACAACGAATAATATTGAATTTAAAGTGTCAATGTTTATAGATGATACCACAATAGGTTTAGATTGAAACTTAGCTCCATGATGTATTTTGGAAAAATGTTATTGATATTTATTAAATATTATCGATAAAACTCAGACTGAAGGAACTAGATCTACATTATTAGTAAGGAGGTTTAAAGATAACAAATTTAATTGGATTGGGAAATTGTTAATTATTTAAAGAGGCTATTCACTTAGTGATTTTCACACACAAAACACAGCTTTTATTTATTTATTTAATCGTTTACAATATTTAGGATCTACATCAAGTGTCTTCAAACTAACAGTAATATTCCCATTCATGTAATTGACTGGCAATTCACATAATTTACATGAAAATATAAAAAAGTGAAATCAGATATTTAGCTTTATCTGTGACTCAATCACGAAAACTTCATTTCAACCCAGTACTTTATGGTATCACAGGGTCTTTTGCACCAGCATACAAGAAGGCCTACCTAACACCTAGCAACGGGGGACCCAGTTCCATTACCCCATTAAAAGTTGGAGGGGGGGGGGGCTATCGAGAGACAACACTATCCTGGAATTGGTCCAAAAGTGCTTCGTTTTCTTCACTTTCCAAAAATGGGGAGGGGGCTGGCCCCCAGGCCCCCAAATCAGCCTCTGATATATGCATATTAAGGACACTTATAGATTGTACAATCACAAGTACAGTTAGAATTTACATGCTCTTTTTACTTGAATTGGATTCACAGTAATTTTTGTGTCAGTTCGTTAATGCGTCAATTTGAAAGAGATTAAGTGTGCCTATAAGGCAGGATGTTTTCCGTTGCAAATCAATTTAATAATAATACATCACAAAATATCTCACAAAATGATATTTAGACAAATTTCTATCAGTAAGTTGTTTAAACCAAATTCCTCTTGAAAGTTATGATAAAATCCAGTCTTGTTAAGTGTTCAGTTTAACCATTTCAGCACTCATCTCCCAGAGTTTCTTTGAAGCCTCTTCATCCATAGCGTGAGGTGCAGGATCTTTTCTTTTACAATCACTATAAAAACAATAAGATCAGGTGTGATAAAAAGACAATAACAAGAGAGGTGGTGATGAAAAAACAGATAGGCCTAATGAGGTACATGGTTATTTGAAAGGGGTAAAGAAGTGTTTTTTTCTTTTGTCTTTTTTTTGTTGCAAATGAAAAGATGTTGATAAAATGATGATGATAAAATTAAGGACATAGCGAAGGACCAAACTCACCCACTTAACAAGTTCATAACAATTAGTAGATCTGGCCGAATAATTCAAACTTTAAAACGTACCAACTGTCATAAATACTCATTTTTACGATATGCAACAAGAGTCTTTACCGAACACGTTAGTAGATAATTCAAGTTTATCTACTGTATTTCACTATGGAGGAAAAAAATGATTTCACTATACTACACTCCATGCCATTCCTCTCCTGGACCTATATATTGTTATATTCATATTTAATATTATATCTGTTAATTGTTGTCTTGTATATTATAGTGATGTTTTCGATTTCTACTGTTTGTTATCAACTCAAAGAAACAAATCTCGTATATGAACTATGTATGACGAAAATAAATCTTGAATCTTGATGTGTAGAAATTAAAGGAGATACATGTTGACAGAATATATGAAATGATGATAATAGTTAAAACAAAAGATCATTGATTGGGAAGAGGTAATGTGATAGTGGTGAGAAAGGAGTATGGAGACATTTGTTAATGAGAAGGGAAAGGAGATAGTTAAAATGGTGAAGAGAAATACAGGTGTTAATGGATAAGAGTTAAAGCAGTGAAGGCACCAGGATCCGCCAATGAAGGGGCTAAAGGACCCAACCGGGGCTAAACGAGCAAAGCTAGCATTTGGCTAAGGGATGACTGGGACTCCCAGTGGGTGTCAAATGCAAAGAATCGCTGGACTTCGAATACTGGACTAATTTTGTTGAATTAATTAGGGTTTTAATAGGCATCAGGCTAATGTAGTCAGAGGTGGAGATTTCAAATTTTTGTAGCCCTCGGATCTCACACATTAGACGTTTAAATGCCTAAATTAATTGAGTTTTGAGGAGGAAATATGACAAAAATATTGTTGTACAAATTTTTACAATGGATTACCAACTCAAAATAACTAAGATATAAAACATGGAAAAAAAACCCCAACTAATTCGTACTTGCCTTTTTATACCTAAGTGCAGTTTTATCTAGAATAATTATATTAAGTTGAAACCACATACTTTTTTTTACCCACTCAACCAAAGTTTCAACCCGAAAACAAACCTCAAACAACCAATTTTGAAGTTTATGATTTTGTTTCTGTGAATTAACCCACTGAGATGTGAAATGACACACTCACATATTGGTAAGGGGCTCACTGAAGAAATGTTTGCCCAAACGAACATAAACCTGCGATATTATTTTTTTACACTCTTTCATTTCCCGACAAAATCTACCCTTTTCCCAGCCTGGGTAAAGGAACACAATGTTCATGTGTTTGATGACCAATACATACTTGCCTACCTGTAATAATAGCCGGTTTCGTTCGCCAAACTCTCTTCGACGGCGCAGTGTATTGTGGTCTGTGCACCATCTTCAGGGGTTTTAATCAAGATGAAAGCGATCAGATATATGAGAGCGAGTTTCCAGGAACTCAAGTCACGTGCAATTTCTGTTAATACAACGCCAGGATGCAGCGAGTAGCAGGTGACACCAGTTCCTACAATGACCAAAATAAAGTAGTGTTTTTTTTTTTGTTTTTTTTTTTTAGTAAATTGATGACATTTGTGAATACATTATGTGGCTACCACAGATAACTTATACTTATAAGATTATAGGGAGGTGCATCCGGATTAAAATAAATGGGTCAAAGCTTTTGTACAAGACTATTATTAGTGTCTTCTTCCTTCGTCCCCAATCCTCCCTTTGTACCTCAACCCAAAGTCACTCAAATGCAACACAATATCCATAGCGGTACCAAATTATTTAACAATCTCCTTTAACATTATAACCTTGTCCCCCACAAGTAAAATATTCTCATACAAATTTAAAAAATACCTTCTTTCAAATTACAATTAATGTAATACTTAGTCAGTCATGTTTTTTATAATTATGATTTACACCATAAATTGTGCTTCCTCTTTATGTGCAACACAATGTCCGTTATAGCGGTACCAAATTATTTAAAAATCTCCCTAACAATATAACCTTGTCCCCCACAAGTAAAATATTCTCATACAAATTTAAAAAATACCTTCTTTCAAATTACAATTAATGTAATACTTAGTCAGTCATGTTTTTTATGATTATGATTTACACCATAAATTGTGCTTCCTCTTTATGTGCAACACAATGTCCGTTATAGCGGTACCAAATTATTTAACAATCTCCCTAACAATATAACATTGTCCCCCCAAGTAAACTATTCTCATACAAATTTAAAAAATACCTTCTTTCAAATTAGGCCTTCAATTAATGTAATACTAGGTCAGTCATGTTTTTTTATGATTTACATTAATTAATTGTGCTTCCTCTTTATGTTTATATGTCTATATTTATAGTTCTTCATAATTATATATTTATTTATTATTTA